CCTCTGCTCCCCCCCCATCTGCTCACCCTAGGGCTCACCCTTGGAGTCCTCAGGACCCAGCTTGGGGGCCCTTTTTACCCTTCCCTGCCCCTGTTCCCCAGCCTGATCAACCGCCCCTGCATTTTCTATTGGGGGCTGCCCCACTGCCAGCCCAATCCATAGAAGATGAATGGACGAAAGGCCCCAGCGACGTTCATTTTTCTACAACAACAACGACTTACGTTCTTGTGTGATAGTCACAGGGCTCTATAAACAAGAGATTCCCACCCAATAGCCGGGAATGTACAATGACCCCACACATCCAGGTTCCTCCGTGGGTTGCATTAGCATTCCCTAATTATGTACATGCTATTAATCGCCAACTGCCGGCTTGACCGATGCTGGGGATTGAACCAAGGACCTCCAGAGCTACAATCACAAATTGCTATAGTCTGAGCTAGAGAGCCAGGCCCTGTAACAGGGCTGTAAACAGATTTACTCCGTGGATCTGGCACAGAGCAGGACGCTTAACACACCCTGACCGGTGGGTTATGGTCAGACAAACAACCTCCCCTCCACCCCCCAATTTTACCCTTCAAACATTGACCTAAAGCATCAATGCGATGATTATTGCATAGAAGGGTTGCCAACTTTCTACACAAAACTGAACACCTTTGTCCCGCCCCTCCTCCAAGGCCGCAGGAGGCTGCGGTGTGGGAGGGGGTGAGGGGTCTGGAGTGCAGGAGGGGGCTCCGGGCTGGGGGGTGCAGCTGAGGGGTTTGGAGTATGGGAGGGGGCTCCGGGTTGAAGCAGGGGATTGGGGTGTGGGAGGAGGTATGGGCTCTGGGCTGGGGGTGCGGGTTCAGGGGTGGGGCTAGAAATTAGGGGCTCAGGGTGTGGGAGGGGGCTCAAGGCTGGGCAGTGTGTTGGGGGAGCAGGAGCAGTGTGAGGGCTCTGGCTGGGGGTGCAGACTGGGGTGGAGCTGGGGATGAGGGGTTTGGGGTGCAGGAGGATGCTCTGGGCTGGGACTTAGGGGGGAGGAGGGGGATCAGGGCTGGGGCAGGAGGTTGGGGCACGGTGGGGAGTGAGAGCTCCGGCAGGGGGTGCAGGCTCTAGGGTGGGAAACCTTTTTTCTGTCACCAGCCATTGACCCACAGAAAAAAATCAATCACGGGCACTCACCCGCAATGGGGCAAGCTGGTGAAGGAGCAGTTCCTAACCAACAAGGATCCATTCTGAGATTTCTAACCCAAGTCATTCAGTCACCGTGCACTTCTGCAACTCTTTAAAAAATGATGGTCATGTGCCATCACTGGTCTACACCATGAATGGTGTTCCAGACTTCTGGGAAGGTTACCCCATTCTGCAGTATCCCATGAAGGATGATCTTGTTGCATCATGAAAAACACTGCAACAGCCCTGAACTGTCTGCTACCCTACTTGCAAGATCTAAAGCACACCAGTCGACTCATCTTCACTAGCAAGCTAGGTTGTGTTAAGCTTCAACCAGAAGGAGTAATGTTAACACGATGTTAAACATACCTTTGCAGACACTGTAAATAAGGACAAGTCATGTTTAAACACAACAGCAGGGTGTGGGTAAACCTTATTAAATCAGGATAATCGTGTAAATTTTGGATAGGTGGCAATCCTTCAGGGGGACCAGAACAGAGCACGGGGGTTGGGGATTAAGAGCCAGAATGTTGGGGGGGGGGGGGGGGGAAGACTAAAAATGAAATCTACCTTTTATGCAGGAAGGGTTTGTAAATTAGGTTATACCAGTTTGTACAGAGATTCGGTACTTTATTTTTTACTGGCCTCATGTATTTAAATATTAATTGCATATTATTTATTATACCTTTGGTGTCTCTTGAAAGGCTCTCACACCCATTGGAATCAAATCTCTCACCCCAGAAGACATACACTGACAGATTTGGTCAGATAAGGGACGCTTGAGCATATAGTACAGGATTAGGGTTTTACCTGTTGTATGCTGACAACTGCAGTTAGCAAATTTCTAACCATAACACAGTGGAAATCTTGGAGTCTTAACATGACAAAAATTATTAATTGAAAATGTATAATCTGAAGAGGGTAGGCCCAATTTTCCACTGCCTTGCACTTTTATAGTCATTTACATGTGTGCAAAATGGTGGTAAAATGCAACCAAATCAAATTCTCCATTCATGCCAGTGGTACTGTTTTACACTCACTTTCCACCAGTATAAACAACTACACCAGATGGAAGTCTCACTATTGGTTACATGGATGAAGTTCATTCGCACAAACGGGGAGCATGCTGCACACAGGAAGGGACTGAAGATGTATTGCAGGTTTAAAAGTTCTCGGAAATTGTGCATCATCATGTTTTCCAGAAAGAAGACAACAGATTATGACAGCATTACATGTTACCTAGACAAGATGTCACCCAGGCTAATGAACATACCAACACATTCTCTCTTGAGCACATACCCACCCCTTTGTCTGTGCTCACTCTTTTCCACCACCTTTACCCTATTCATAACCATATTCACCACAGCATTTCTAATATACGTACTGTTTTTAAAACAAGGGTTGTTCAGTGACTGTACAGCATGTACAATTTTTAATACACTTGGCAAAACTTGTATGCAGTATTTGAAACTTTTTCAAATAGTTAAAGAATACAAGAGGTTCAAAGTAAGCTTCCAAAAGAGGATTACACCTTTATAGGAACGTACATTTTTATCATGTATAAGTGATACATGCTTCAAAGCAGAGGCCACCCACTGGCTGGAGGAGGAAGAAATTTCCCCTCTAATCTGTTTAGTTCATAACTGTCCAACACCAAGGATTATGGCAAAGTCCTCTGAATGATCTGGTACAGCAATTCTTCCATAGTTACCATTCTTTTGGAATTCCTCTCTTCCCACTCCGTGAAGCTAGACATCTTCAAAGTGCCTTACAAAAATAATCAATCCATCCCCAGGACATCTCTGTGAGTTCGGTAGATGCTACTAGCATTTTACAAAAGGAGAAACTGAGGCAGCGAGGTTTCAGAGTTGTAGGCGTGTTAGTCTGTATCAGCAAAAACAACGAGGAGTCCTTGTGGCACCTTAGAGACTAACAAATTTATTTGGGCATAAGCTTTCGTGGGCAGAGAGATTTCTCAAGCCCACAGAAGGAAGATGTGATAGAGCTTGGATCAGAAGGTAGGAGTTTATTATTTGTGTTGCCGCAACAGCTAGGGGCCCCAATCGTGGGCCAGGTCCCCATTGTGCTAGGTGTTGTACAGACAAAACAAAAAACAATCCCTGCCCCCAATGGTTTTACAATCTGGCTCCCAACGCTATGCTCAGTCCATGCTTCTCTCTCATGAAATTTCCTCACTGATACATTCCTTTCTGGACTTAGCAGAGAAGGAAAAAGAAATAGAGAACTGATCTCCCAAGTCCTCGAAGGAACAGTGAGCTTTCAGGCAAAGCAGGCAACTTGGCAAATCTCTCCTCTCCTTCATTAAGTTCTGCCAAGATTATGATGTACATTTCAGTTAGGGAAGGGCAGCTCCGATTTAGTTCTCTTACCATTCTTATCCCTATTAAGACATCAGTACTTCCAATCCATCCGGA